TCTTCTTTTTCTTAGATAAGTCCCTTTAACATTTCATATAAGGGCTTGGTGATGATAAACTCCTTTAAGTTGACCTTATCTGAGAAGCACTTTGTCTGCTCTTCCATTCTAAATGAAAGCTTTGCTGGATAGAGTAATCTTGGATGTAGGTCCTTGCCTTTCATGACTTTGAATACTTCTTTCCAGCCCCTTCTTGCCTGCAAGGTTTCTTTTGAGAAATCAGCTGATAGTCTTATGGGAACTCATTTTAGGTAACTGTCTCCTGTTCTCTTGCTGCGTTTAAGATTCCTCATCTTTCATCTTGGCAAATGTAATTATGATGTGCCTTGGTGTGTGCTTCCTTGGGTCCAAGTTCTTTGGGACTCTCTGAGCTTCCTGGACTTCCTGGAAGTCTATTTCCTTCACTAGATTGGGGAAGTTTTCCTTCATTATTTTTTCAAATAAGTTTTCAATTTCTTGCTCTTCCTCTTCTCCTTCTGGCACCCCTATGATTTTGGATGTTGGAATGTTTAAAGTTGTCCCAGAGGTTCCTAAGCCTCTCCTAATTTTTTTTGAATTCTTGTTTCTTTATCTTGTTCTGGTTTATTTTTATGTCCTCTTTCTGCTCCAGACCATTGATTTGAACCCTGGTTTCCTTCCCATCTCTGTTGGTTCCCTGTACATTTTCCTTTCTTTCACTTTTCATAGTCTTCACTTTTTCCTCTATTTTGCAGCCATTCTCAACCATTTCTGTGAGCATCCTGATTACCAGTGTTTTGAACTCTGCATCTGATAGGTTGGCTATCTCTTTATCACTTTGTTGTATTTTTTTCTGGAGCTTTGGTCTGTTCTTTCTTTAGGGCCATATTTTATTTGTCTTGGCAAGCCTGTTATGTAGTAAGGTGCAGAGTCTTATATATTCACCAGGGCAGGGCAACCCAGGTTGCTGTGTTGTGGCGCTATATGTTGGGGAGGGGGTCCATGAGGGAACCATGATACTTGCTTGGCTCTTAGCTGGCTTTCACTCACTTCCCCTGTACCCACAAGCAAATTGGGCCCTTCTGGTTCTGATTCCTGAGTGGGTTGTTTTGTGTACATTGTAGGACCCTGTACTCTCCTGTGAGGCTGATAGTTTCTCCTGCCACCTCAACCCCCATAGATTCTTTCAGTCAGAGGTTTTGAGGCTTTAGTTTCCTCCGCTGGAAACCTGGGTTGCACAGTCTGTCTCGATCTCCAGTTGTTCCTCCTGATTCATCCACACACAAATGTTGGACTGCCTGCTCTGCCAGCCGCTGCCTTGCAGTGAGTCCTCTCCACCCTGGCTGTTTGTCTTCGCCCCTCCTAGCAGTCTGGATGAATGTTCATTCTTTAATTCATTGGTTGTCAGACTTCCATACAGTTTAATTTTCTGGCAGTTCTGGTCACTTTTTGTTTTTAAATTTGTTGTTGTCCTTCTTTTGGTTGTATGAGGAGGCAAAGTGTATCTACCTATACCTCCATTTTGGCTGGAAGTCCCTCTCTGGGCTGACTCTTTCTAGTAACTTATTTTTATCTTTACTACACTCTATATTCCCAAGCAGTAGTTGAATTTAGCTCTCCATTTATTCATGTTTTTATGATTCTCATTGCACTTTTAAATTTTCCTTAATAAATACTATGTGTCACACATGCTAAATCTGGAATGTAATTTGTTTTGGTACTGTTCTAAATAGAATTGCCTTGTACTATATCTTCTATCTCACTAATATTTAGGGATTTTTTTTTAATTTTTAAAAACTTTTATTTCTAAGACATTATCTCATATATATATTTAAAGATTTTATTTATTTATTTTTAGAGAGAGGGGAAGGGAGGGAGAAGAAAGGTAGAGAAACGTCAATATATAGCTGCTTCTCACGTGGCCCCCACTGGGGATCTGGCCCACAACCCATGCATGTGCCCTGACTGGGAATCGAAACAGCAATCCTTTGGTTTGCAGCCTGTGTTCAATCCACTGAGCTACACCAGCCAGGCTGATTTTTAAAAAATTGATATTTTGTACCTTGTAACTTTGAACTCTTTGCTTCTAGGACTTTTTGTTGTTGCTGCTGTTGCTTTGCTTTGGTTGACTTTCTTGGATATTTTAGGTGTTTAATCATGTAGTTTACCAAAAAAGCTTTTATTTTTTCTAGTTTATTTCTTTATTTCATGCTTTTGTTATACTTTGCTATTGTTGGTTCTCTAGACTTAACACATCCTTTCCTCTCTTCTCTGAACATGATTACATTTTTCTATGTGCTTTTTCCTCTAACATTTAAATCAGAGATAGATGTTGAATTTTACTGATAACCTTCTCATCATTTTTTGAAATAATTATTTAATCATTTTTCTAGTGAATGTTTGTTGTCAGTTTTCTATATAACATTCTTGCATTCCACTATTTGGTTGTAGTCAAGTTACACATATTTTAAATTAAATCCTATCAAAATCATATCTATTTCACAAAATAAGCTGGGTAATATATTATTTTTTATATTCTAATACAGTTGAAATAATATAAAAATATTCTTTGAGGGATTTGGAAAAAAATTCTCCACTGAATTTTTCACTGAAAAATTCTTCACTGAAGCCAAGGATGTCTTTGAAAAATTCATTTTGTTTTAAATGTCTTCCTTTGATATTGACCTAATCATTTTTCATAATTTTCACTTCATTCTTAGCATTATGGATATTTAGCTTGTTGTCTATCTCTGATGAATCACTGCATTTCTTATTCATTAGATAGAAGGAAAATGCCATGGAAAGCAGTTCTGCCTGAGTCAAAAGTTGATCTGAGCTTTTAACACTATATCTAGCAGTAAGATTCTCTCACCTTTTCATTAAAATCGTCTAGCAGGCTGTTGAATGTCTTTGTATATTTTTTTAAAAAAGATTTTATTTATTTTTAGAGAGAGGGAGGGAGGGAGGAAGAGAAAAACAGAGAGAAATGTCTGTGTGAGAGAAACATCATTCAGTTGCCTCTCCTACACATCCAACTGGCAATGGGACCTGCACCCCAGAAATGTTCCCTGAACAAGAATCGAACTGATGACCCTTCACTTTTTGGTAAGATGTCCAACCAATTGAGTCATACCAGTCAAGGCTGTGTCTTTTTGCTTCCTTTCTTTTTAAAAACATTTAGTTACTTATTTTTAGAGGGGGGAACAGGAGAAACATCAATGTGTGGTTGCCTCTCAAGTGCCCCCTACTGGGAACCTGGCCTGCAACCCAGGCATGTTCCCTAATTGGGAATCGAACGTGCAACCCTTTGGTTCACAGTCCAGCACTCAACCCACTGAGCCACACCAGCCAGGGCATGTGTCTTTTTTCTTAACTCCTTACTGTGTCTTTAAGTTTATATCCTCTACCTTTCTCTGGTTCTAATCACAAGGTCTACCCAGCTCCTACTGCTCAAAAGTTCACTGTCCACAAATTTCTGGCTCCCTTTGCAGCCTCTCCAGTTCACTGAAACATGGGGCTGGTTGGGCTTCTTTCGTGCCCATAGGTATCCTGTTACTGCAGCTGCAGATGAAGGGGGCATGGTGGTTAGAGGACTGGCCCTGGAGGTTTGAATCCTTATTTGGATGCTTCCCACTTCTGAAACTTTGAATACATAATTTAATCTTTCTGAACTGTAGTTTTCTCATCTATAAATTAAGGATAACAATAGTCTCCATCTTAATACATTATGAGGATTCTTTCAGTCATCCTCCCAATATTTATTGTATAATTAATATTTGTCAGCCATTGTTTTAGGTGCTAAAGATAAAGACAGTGAACAAAATAAAAAAAAATCCCTGTGTGCATGAAACTTATTTAGGAGAAGGAGTCAAGCAAATAAACCAAAAAAATATAAACCAACAAACTAACAACTATATGATATTTGAATTATATGTATATGTTTTTATATATTATGTATGTGCCCATCTATCTATCTGTTTCTCATCACTCTATCCCTCTATCTACCTAAATTTGAGGTAGTAAGTATTTATGAATAAAAACAGAGAATGGGGCAAGAAGTGCCAGGGTGTTATATTATTTGGGGTGGTCTTTGAGGGCCTTTCTGAGGATACCATGTTTAAGGAGCAGCCCTCATGGAGTGAGGAAGCCAGGCCTGTGAATAAGTAGGGAAACATGGTCCTGGCTGAGGGATGATCAAGCTAGAAGGCCCTGAGGTGGGATTAAATGAGACTATACAGATAAAGGTTTGGCATAGTTATGGCACAAAGTGAGCTGCCACTAATACTCCCACAACTATTGCTACAATAACCATCACCACTGCTCTTGTAATACAGATGTAATAAAGGGGTCAAGAACGGACTTCTGACTGTTTATTCAAGGTCCTAGAGTAGGATTGCAATAAGTGTTGGTGTCTTCCTCTCTCCCATTCCCGTAACCCAGAAGGAATGCACACCTCCCACCTACCTATCCTTCTCCAGCACAAAAGCACCCCTCCTTTCTGCCCATCACACCCTATCTGTGAAGGTTTCTGAAATGTGCTACATTGCGAGTCTCAAGGATTATATCTACTTTTCCCTCCAGCCCCGAAACATAACACCCAAAACTGGCCTCTGCACACAGTATAGACTGTTAATTGGTGCTGATAGTCGGGGCCCCTCGGCCCAGCATCTCCTTCTCCCACCCCCTCACATTGAGAGTGGCTTGATTTAGGTCTGAAACAAAAGCAGAAATGGCAAGGATTTGGGCCCAATAGATTCATAGGCCCTTTTCTGTCCTGTACAACATTTTGTGGTGCTTGGAGTGGGTTCATCTATAAGGAAGGAGGCCCTACTATATTTTCTTCTATAGTTCATTTTCAACCAAACCTCTTCTGCCCCTTTAGCTTTCTCCACTGATATCATCTGCTCCCAGATTATTTCCCTCCTATCCCTGTCTCTTGTTATTGCTTTCTCTACAAGCTCTCTTATCTCAGCACATATTTCAATATCACAGTTTGGAACGGCAGCAAGTATTAAGTATAAAAATCTGAATTATGGAAGGGATTTCTTTTTTCATAAAGAAATGCAACTTTATTATTTTCAAGTACATATGTAGTGCCTCAAACTAATGTCTTATGAAAGGTCACCAAGTAAAGGTCTTGCAGATGTTTTTAACAAATACATAAAAATGGATGATAATTAGCTCATATACTCACTACTTCTAAATGGAGATTCCTAAAGTGCTTGAAAAAGATTGTTTTAGGAAGACTAATATGTCACCCTTAACAATATTGTTTATGCTCTTAATTTACTGAACAGATGCCTTTTGTATTGTGTAAAGATAAACTTTTGTCCACAGTCAATAAATCTCAAATTAATTAGACCCAAAATATTGTGATTTTCCACTTAGTTTTCCAAACCCAAGGCAATGATTCACTTATTTCAAGGTGCTTCTGATAAAGTACAATTTCACTGTAATGAAGTAACAGACCTTGGGAGGTGGCCATTGGGCCTCACCTAAAGTTTGCTTTTTGTGCTTCCTTCCTTTTGCTTTAGAATCTTTCATTTTCCTTAGGTGTCTCTCACTTGCTTTGTTCATCTAGGTCTCTCAAGGGGATATTCCCAATGCCTTCTAAGCCAGCCTTAAAGAGTGGGCAGAACTGCCTGCAGAGCAGAAGTGCTAGGTGGATAGGGAGTAAAGGAAGGAAAAATATCTCCCATAGGAACTGGAAACCAATTGCTCATCTTAGGGAAAGTGGGTACAATGAACATCAGCATAAAGGGTATTTGACTGGGAGGAATAGCACTGCTGACTGAGAAGTCAAAGGCAGGTCCCCTAATGCTTTCCCTCTGGTCCACAAGTCTGACCATGTTCATGACCTAAGCTGATTCTGCACATCCTTGGAAGACAGGGAGGTTCTGAAAATCCCTCTACCCTGATTCCAGCTGTTGGCCAGGGAACTTCTGGCTTGTCAGTGCCTAGAATGATGCAGGTTCATCAGCATGGGCATGAAGGGGAAGAGTGGCAGCTATCCCTTTCAGAACAACATGAAACTTCTGAGTTCTTAACATTCTAAAGGGCAGGTGTTACCAAGTGCATGTGATTGAGAGAGCTGGAACATCTGTGACACCTGGACCTCATGGACCAAATAGATCACAAAGCAAGGGTCAGTGGGAACTCTGTGACACATGGGTGTAGGATCTCAGTGAAGGTCCCAGGACTGCATTCTGGTCCTGTCTCTGCTGCTACTCTGACAACATTTGAATTTGGTCTGCTGCCAGGACACTCTAAAAGAGCAGGACACAGAGCTGGAGCCCAGATGTCTATCTGGAGATTCCAGGCATCAAATGCCCTGTCATTGATCTATCTTTCCTTTCCTGTCTCTCTCCCATTGTTGTCTGCCTCCTCTACCATACGCTAACCTCTCACCTGTCTGTGTCTGCCCAGCTCTCCTCTAGAGGTTCTTAAGTAGCCTTGCCTGGGATACAGGCTGTCTTCTCCAACCAGCTTCCCTTTCTGGACTCAATAGGAGGAGCTATTTGTGATTTGTTGGTTGGAGGGGGAAGCAGGGGACAGAGTTGGGCAGGAAGCAAATGAAGGGTGAAGGTGGGAAGTGGGGTGAGGCTGGAGAGATAAAGAGATATTGGTGACCTGAGAAGTTTTCCTTCCTCCTGGTTTGACATATCCTTGCCTTTGGATGTTGATCTGTTCTAGTGTAAGATGGGGGAGAAGGGATAGAGAATGTGGAGGGCTGGAGTAACCTTCAAGCCCTCATAAAAATAGACAACATGGTAGAGTGGGATGGAGCAGGATCTGGGGGGAGTGTCTAATGTGACTGATCAGAGTTGGGTCTCTGGGAGCTTATTCACCCACTCTCCCCAAATTGGTGGGCTGAATTGCCTCATTCTCTCTTGCCAAATCTTCACCTAAAAACTACCCCAGTTCTTCCATCCCTACCCATCACCATCCCAGCAACTCCTCCAGGGCACCCCATCTTTCCCGTGCCTGGTTCTTCTTTCCAGTGTGCTCAGTAGTAGGTCTCCTTTTCCACCCAGCCTGTTAGAGAGATTAAGAACAGGGTTTGCAAGGTGAGTATACAAGGAGGCATAGGGACTTATGTGGTTGAGGCCAGGTGGATAGGAACCTGGGGAAGGGAGTTGAGGTAAGTATCTGTAGGCAGGTGAAAATGGAGTGGGGAGAAAACACAGTGAGCTGGGGCCATAGATTAGGAGAAAGGAGAGAATTGTATTTCTCACAGTAGTGAGTGGGCATAGAGTAGTTGGGGATGAAAATGCAAATGCCTGTAGTGGCTATTCAGGTAACAAATAGGTTTCTAAAGGGGCAGCCACTTATTGAGGCTGAGAAGAAATGTGGTCATGGGGTTGGCAGCTCTTGTAATTTTTCAGAAGAAGTCAGAAATTCAGATTTTATGTGAAAGCCTCCAAGTTTTAAATACTAGACATTTAAAAAACCACACCTGCACAATGTAGGCCAGGCCAAACCAAACACTACCCATGGACTGTATTTGTTTAAGCTCCAGTAAGTGATCAAAATGCTTGTTGGAAAGAAATACTTGATTGATGCCTGGGAATCAGGAGGCCTTGGTTCTACTGTCATTTGTACTGCTTCTTGTTTTATGACCCTGAACAAATGAATTCACCCCTGCACCCCTCTTTGTCTGTAAAATGTGTAGATGGAATAAATGACCTTAAGGGCCTTTCTAATTCTGATGTTCTGTGATTCCAGGTGGAAGGTGCAGAGACTCAGAGACTAACTGTGGGTTAGGGTAGACCAGAATCTGAGATAAAGAGGGTGAGGAATTCAACAGAGCCAGGGCTCCTAGGATCTGGGACCCCAGAACCTGAGGGCACTGAGAAAAGGAGCAGGGCTCTGTAGTTGGAATGGAGTTTGGGTTAGGATCACTGGAGGGGTAAGCAGCAGTGGGGGTTGCATTTGCTGGGGGTTATGGTGAGGTATGGAGATGCTTACCACCAGGATATCGCCTTAGGATGAGCTTTCGGACTTCATCATAGATGAAGATGAGGAGACTGTAGGGGAAGGCACAGAACCACCAGGTAACCCTGAAAGAAGCAGAGGAGAGTGTTTGGAACTTTAGAGGCTGATCATAAAAAGGAGGATTTGAATGGACCAGAACTTGGATCCTAGAAGGTGCCCATTTAAAGAAACACTCACTTGAGTGGGTACATACGGAGGGCCACACCCATGCCTGGGCAGTAGGATAGAAAGGCAGCCAGTGCTGTCTCTTCCAGGAGCCCAAAAATCAAAATCTTGTTCCTGGAAAAGCAAAGAAAGGAGGGTTTGTAATGTGTAAAGGGAAGAAAAGGAGGGAGATTCAGGGAGACACCTGGTGGTGGAGGGGAAAGAGGCAAGAAGAAATGTGAGGAAAGGGTCATTTATGACCTCTCCCTGTGCCCTCTGTAGACACCTTCTCATGCTGTGTGTAACCCAAGAAAGATTTTCTTTAATTTTTATGCTTATTGATTTTACCCCCTAATGTTACCTATAACACATATATTCATTCAATAAATAAATGATTTTTTTATGTGTTGGGTGATGTGCTCTGTTCTGGAGATATGCCATGTGCAACATGAGCTTCCTTCTGGAGACATGGAACCTGCCCTCATGCAGCTTACAATTTTGTTATCTCTCCAGGAAAGTGGCCTGTGAAAGTATTATCTCCCCAGGAAGATGCCACAATAGCTCCTTCAGTACAGGGCCCACCTGTGTCTTCTACATCCTCAGTGTCTCCTACAAGTCCCTCTTAGCTCTTGGTTATAGATATTCAATAAAGAAGCAAGTATTAGCAGAGGGAAAGTTCACTGGAGAATAAGTGCTCAATGCATTGTATGTTTACTGTGTCAGAATTGGAAAACAAAACAAAATAAGGTTCTGAGGGCAATTTCTGGGGTCAGACAGGTGACATCTAGTCCCAGCACTGCCACTTACTAGCTTTTAGTTATAAGCAATGTTCCTGTGAGCCTTGTGTTCTTTCTCTGTAAGATGGAGGTATCACCTTTACATCATAGGATTGCTGGGAAAACTATGGGAGATAAAGCGTGGGAAGCTCTCGAATGTGGACAGTGCTAGGTCATATTATTACTCAACCTTTTATATAACCTTGTGCACATCACCTCTTTATGGCTGAAGCCAGTGGTTTCCAAACTTTTCACTCACTAAGGACCCCTCCTATTTTCTTCCAAAAAGGCCACATTTTAATTGATTTTTTTCCTTGCAAGTTGCATTTGTCAATTAAGTAGTGACTATACTTCCCCATTTAAAATTAATCAGACATATATGAAGCTTCCAACTGGAACTACATATTAGCATGTGTTCACTATACTTCATACCTAGGCTTCTGCCTAAGAATGGCACTTGGGTGGGCCTAGGAGCCTTATCACAGAAAAGTGCTTGATTTCCATAAAGCTTTTTGAATGATGGAAATACTATCTCAGAAGACCCCTGAGATCCAGGAGCCCAGGTGAGGCCTGAGGTGCTGAGGCTGCCTTTGGCCAGGTAACTTGCTGGTATTAGTACTCCCTTGTACCCAGCTTGACTTTTGTTTCTTTTCCATTTGCCTCTAAGTTTGGCAGGATTTAGCCAGTTATGTTCTCACCTTCCGGTGTCCCTCATGCACTGCACAATAAGTCCCAGACCAGAACTGTACCAAATTTCTTGGACTCTCTGCTCCTTGTTCTCTTTTCACTGTATTTTCCCCATCAGTATCTTTTTTAGCTTACTGGAATTGCCTACCTTTATTTATCTAACAGACTTTTCATTTTTTTCTCCCTCGGATCTTAAATGCTATTAACTTCACCAGGGTTTGGCATCTTTTTTTTTTTCCAAACTCAGAAATTATGACAAGGCTCATTTGGATAATTGTGTTCATCATTTCCAGTCAAAGAAAATAAAAAGAACAGGAATGATACCTTCAGCACTTGCTACCATCCATGCTACAATCACAGAGTAGTTATTGAGTTCCTCACAGGTGCCAGTCTGTGATAGGTGAACCACCCCATGCAGTGGCCAAGAGCTTTGGCTTTACAAGCTGACCTGTGTTAACCCTTATCAGCTGGGTGACCTCAGGCACATCATTTAACATTTTGGGGGTTTCATCCATAAATTGTGAGGTTAAACAATATTTTTGAATCACTTGCTTCTGTGACTGACACATATTAACTCACACTATAAGATCACATTAAACCTGACCCTGAGCAGCTCATAGAGACCCCAAGGATAACACCATTACCACAGGGCAAGTTCTGTAAACTAAACCTACTTATGAGTGTAAGGGAGCATGGGAGACCCTGTATTTAGGGATGGACAAAGAATAGAGATAAATATCACTAGAATACACGATGGAGGAAGGAAGGAAGTAAAGAAAGAAGAAAATAAGAGAGGAAAGAAAGAAATAAGGAAGGATAGAAGGAAATAAAGTAAAGAATGAAGGAAGGAAAGAAGAAGAAGGCATGGAGAGAAGATGAAAAGGAAAGAAGGTAGAAGAAGACCTTGACAAAGTACATTTTAGGAACAAAATAAAAGTAATCAGAAATAGTCATATCAATCTTCTCTTATTTTTAAAACATGCCTCTGGATCTACAGCTAGGTAACTAAAACCTTAGGTTTCCCTAGCAGAACTGGGCCCAGAGGGTAGAGGTGAGCCTGTGAGAGCCTTCTGCTTGGGTAGGCAAGTGCCTGGCTGGGTGGGTGCTCACTTCATGCCCTGCTGGAAGACTGAGTTGCGGCGGGTCTTGCAGATGATGAGGTCAGCCCACTGCACCACCACGATGCTGGCAAAAAAGGCTGTGTGGCAGGTAAACTCCACCACCTTCCGCTGCTCATAGGTCTGGGGGAGAGTGGGCAGAGAGGCAACATTGTGAGAAGAAAAGTCAGGGCCAGAGTGTAGCATGGTTTGGTGCCATTGTTAAACAATGGGCACTGGATCCATGCTTAGCCTCCAATCCCAGTTGGCCAATACTGACCACTTCTGCTGGGCATTTAGACCCCTGTCTCATACACATATGTCTGCATGTACCCAGCCCCACTCACCCACTCCTGTCCATAGCTGTCCTCCAGGTCATTTGTGGACCGGTCATCCCAGTCGAGGCGGATTCCCAACAACCGTGATGGCAGAAAACCATTCTCTGCCAGGATCACGAAGTAGGTGAAGAAGCCTCCTAGAGCCTGGATCATTCCTGTGGGTCATGGGCAAAATATAGGGCCTGGGGTCAAAGGAAGCTGGAGGGCACCAGAACTAACAGGTCAGAGATACATGTCCCTGACCCTGGGGAAGCTGGCCTCTGTTGTGGACTCCAAAAGCTGGGGAAAGAATTCTCTGAGGTTCCCTCCTGAGCCCCAGGGCCCCACCGCACCGATCTGTCCATAAGCCATGCTGATCAGCCTCTCGTTCACCAGCTTGTCTGTCTGAGAGTTTCTCGGCTGCCGCTTCATGATGTCACTCTCAGCTGCCTCATAGGCCAAGGAGATGGCGGGGACCTGTGTGAGGTGGGAAGTAGGGGAGAGAAGGGCTTTGGAAAAGAGCCGTGTGCTTGTCTTATCTTCAGCCAGCACAGTCTGGTCAGCTGCCTTTTGTTCCTCTCTCTCTTCCTGCTACCCATCCCTGCTCACTGTGCCCATAAGATTGCCTTGCCTATATCCTACACCAGCCCTTGTCCTTACCATGTCAGTGCCCAGGTCAATGCAGAGGATGGTCACAGTGCCCAGTGGCAGGGGGATGTTGGCAATAATGAAGAGCAGGAAGGGGGTGATCTCAGGGATGTTGCTGGTCAGGGTGTACGCAATGGATTTTTTCAGGTTGTCAAAGATGAGGCGGCCTGTGGAGAGTTCCAAAGGGCATCAGGGGGATCAGAAGCACCCTTCTCCACCCCAGCCATGGAGGTGTGGCTGCCCAAATTCCTGAGAGAGGAAGATTTTGTGTGTGAGGGAAGCTAATGCTGGCAGTAGACACCTGGAATCTTGAGTTGACTCTGGGGTAAAAGGCACTAGAAGTAGGTGTGCGGGCATCAATCATCCTAGATGCCACTTCACCAGTAGTCTCCTTACCCTCCTCCACGCCTGTGACAATAGAGGCAAAGTTGTCATCCAGCAGAATCATGTCGGCTGCCTGCTTAGAGACATCGGAGCCTGAGATACCCATGGCAATGCCAATGTCCGCCTTCTTAAGTGCTGGAGAGTCATTCACGCCATCACCTGTCACTGCCACGATGGCTCCCTGGGAGAAGGGACAGCCAAGCTGGAGGGTAAAGGCCCTGCACAGGCCCATCCCCACCTTCTGCCACCTTGCTCACCTGCCTCTGACAGCCCTCTACGATGATAAGCTTCTGCTGTGGAGATGTCCGTGCAAAAACAATCTCTGTGTGGTTCTTGAGGATCTCATCCAGCTGCTCCGACGTCATGTCCTTTAGGTCAGAGCCATGCACCACACATGCCTTGGCCTCTCTGGAGGGCAGGGGCAGAGGCAGAGGCACTGATTCATGACCTAACCAGGTCATGAGGATTCCTGCCTGGAGGCAGCCTCCAGTTTCCCCCAGGGCCTCCTCCTCCTCTCCCTTGAAGCTCAGTGGCCTGTTTTTCCCATTTCTCTGAGGAAATGATGCTAGATCTTTGCCATGTGTATAATCACAGTCAGTACAGTTTGCTAGGTGTGTGTTCATTCTCTTATATGTATTTCATTGCTGTAGCCAGTCTGCAGTGTAAATAGGATCTTAATTTTGTAGTTGAGAACATGTAGGCTCAGGAAGGTAAGGTGACATCTGCAAGGTTACACAAGTAAACAATGTACAGTTGGACACGTTCAGGACTGAGGAACCAAAGGAAAAGCCTCTGAAGTTCCCAGAGGTGCTATCCAGATACCCCAGGGAAGATTCAGGTACCCTGTGGGAGAGGATGGGTTGACTGAAAACAGGGAATTCTGCAAAAGCGTCACCTGGGGTTGACTTGACTGACAGGGATGTTGAGCCGGGCTGCAATGTCCTCCACAGTTTCATTGCCCTCTGATATAATGCCCACGCCTTTGGCAATAGCCTTGGCTGTGATTGGGTGGTCCCCAGTCACCATGATCACCTGGCAAAAAGGAGAAAGGAGAAAAGAGTAAAGGACAGCTATATCAAGTGACCCTTCTACTTTACCCCAGCCTATTCATTTCCCAAAGTCAGGAAAAAGCAGGTGGTGGGGCTCACAGATCCCAGCCAAAATAATGGAAGTGTGTGTGGAGGGGGTATGGGTTGGGGGAGAGACAATGTCAAGTTGTGTTCAGGGATCAGAGATAGTTTGCTTAGATGGAGGAAAGCTGCCATGACAGAATGACATGTTAATGAGGGTCCCTTGGGTTAGAAACCTCCAAGATTGTTTAGATGTTTGGATTTCATGGGATATGAAGCTGTCAGAGCTAGGAGGCCCCTTAACAGCTTCCTCCTGTTACCTATAAGAAAACAAAGACTTAGAAAGGGCTGTGATATGCTCAAGGTCACAGGGAGCCAGAACTAGGACATGGTTCTCGTGTCCAATATGACTGCTGCAGGCCATCTAACTGGTCAGATCAGAATAAGGACAGGGAGATAACCCTCCTACACTCCCTGCCCTGACATTTTTCCATGATGTGGGAAGAAGGTGATTCTTACCCTAATGATAATGTTCATTGTGTTTCAGAATGGATGGAATTGGGTAGGGAGGGTAGTTGGCATCTGAGAGGTCGGTTAAGAGGCTATTGTAAGCATAAAGTGATCAGAGCTGGATTAGGATATAGCATTTGTTTGTGGCAGTTCATGGGGCAAATTGCATACATGCTAATAAAGAAGCCTCTCCAGGCCTCACTGCCTTCTCTTCCCCCGGTGACACTCCACTGAAACTGTCCCCCAAAGGCTATATGAGCCTCCCAATTGAAAAACAATGGCAACTCTACAATCTTCATTCTTCTTGACTTCCCTGAGGTATTTGGCACCACCCCTCCTTGAAACCTTTTCCTCCCTTTGCTTCCATGGATTCTTTATACATGGTTCCTCTCCATCTTCTTCACATACTTCCCTGCCCTTCTCAGGGAGACAGCTGACAAGAGTGGAAGAAGTGGCTTAGGAATCAGAAGACCATGTAAACGTAAATGCTGACTTACCCCAACTCTAGGACCTTAGACAAAGGCCTTCACTGCATCTCAGCACATGGAAAAGATGAGTCCTACATTTCATGGTTGTCATGAAGGGCATGTGGCATTCAGTGGACGCTCAATAAATGTTAGCTGTGTCTTACCACCCTCTTTCCTTGGTCACTGGTTCTTGCTCCTCTACTTGCCCCTAAATGTTGATGTGGCCCAGGGTTTCATGTCCCTCATCTTTCTAGACTCATGATCTTTTCCTGGGAATAGTAAGCACTACAATTTGTAATCATTGAGAGTTTAACTGAGCTACTTCATGCTATTGCTGCTTTGGCATCTATTTTGTTTGGCGAAGTGGCTTGCTCCTTTGTAATATAATAAAACATACTAGTATGTCTTTACTTTGCATTCATGGGCTAAAGAGAGTCAAATCTCCAGTCTTGATCCTTTTTCTTGAGCTCTAAATCACATTTCAACCTTCTCTAGAACAGCTCTCCCTGGATGTCTTAGAGATTCTTTGAATAGAAGGTCAAACTGAACTCATTATTTCTGCCTCTACCACCTCCACCATGCCTACTTCTCTACTCCCTACCTTAGAAACTATGCCGTATCCATTCAGGCCTTTTGTCTCCTATATCTCCCTCACCTCCTATATCCAGTTTAGTCATCAAGTTCTCAAAGTGGTTCTCAAATATAAAGACTTCCTTTTGTTAATGCCCTTGTTCAGGTCATCATCCCTTGCCTAAACTATTGTAATGGCTTCTTGACTGTCTTCCTGACTCCAGTTCTTTTCCAAATCTAGGCCCTCCTCCAACGAAAGGTTAAATCTGTCCTGTGACACCTGTGGCTATCTGTGGACAGGATAAAACCCAAGGCTGGCATTTCAGCAAAGTTCTTCCAGCTGGCTCTGGCCAAACATTTCAGACTCAATTCAATTCCCAGTGCTCCTCTGCCACCTCTTCCTACAACCCACGCACACACCCAATACAGTGTAACCACACAGGGTACACACTGTTCCCTGCTCTTGACATGCCTTTCTCTCCCTCACTGCTTTACAAAATACTTGTCAATCTTCAAGGCTCAGATCAAATATCATGCCCTCTATAAAACATTGCCCAATTTCCTGAGGCAGAATTAACTGCTCCTTACCCTGATTTCCCATGGAGGGACTTTTCCCAGGCCTCCATGATAGTTCTGATCATGGCAAGAGGCAGTCTAATGAAGAGCAGAGCATGTGCCTTCCACAGAAACAGGCTATACTTGATATAGCCAGTCCACATCTTACCAGCAGATTTATTTTGGGAAAACTACTTACTCACTCTGAGTCTCAGCTTCTTTTATTTTTAAAGAAGTAGTGAAGCCTACCTTAGAGACAGAGTGGTATGGGGTTTAGAAATCACATATACACAGATACATATATATATATACACACATATACATATCCCCAAGAATGATGGTTGAAAAATAGCAGACTGTCTTGTTTAAAATCCTGGCCCTACCATTTGTGTGGTTTGGGGCATGGTACTTTGTGCCTCAGTCCCTCTGTATAAAAAAGGGAAAATACTAGTGTTTAATCATAGGTTATTATGAAGATTAAATGAGATTACGCAGGTTTAGTGCTAAGAGTAGTACCTAATTCACATAAAGGCTCACAAAACAACCAGCTGTTTTTATTATTAGAGTATCTGATCTATAGTAAGTGCTCAACTACCCTAGCTATTATGATTGTTCTGTGATTAACTGTAAAGGCATTTGTTTCCCCTAACAGATGATGAATTCCAGAGGCTAGGCTGTGTCTTGTTCATCTTGGAATTCCCAGTGCCTAGTGCAGTACCTGACACTCAGTAGACAGGTAGAGTTGAACTAATATGGTAAGAGATGAGATGTTGAAAAAAAGAGGAGCGAATAATGGTACCGTCCCTGGTTAGTTGCTAGGTTAAGGGGGAATGGTATAGAGCTGTATCTTTGGAACAGAAAAGTAAGCTCCAAGATGGAAGGGAATTATGTTCATTTGTTTGTTAAACTCCAACACCTTAAACAGTGTCTGGTACATAGTTGGTAAACAATAAATATTTGTTAAATGAAGAAAAATTGTAGCACCAAGGAGGGTGTGGCCATTGAGAGGCAGTTGTGGATAAGAGTAGCAGTAGACAAGAAAACCTGGGAGAGGGGTCCAAGGTGGGAGGAGTGTGGAGAAATGATACAGGGTCTTGGGGGTAGTGAGTGAGTGAAGACAGGAACCTGCTAATCCCATCCCAAGTGGCTAGAAAGAGTGGGCAGTAGTAGGGAGGGGTAGGTCACCATATCTCCAAGATAGGGCTGCCAGATCGGCTTGACATAAGAATGGAATGAGCCATGCCAGGGAGGGAGAGGATGGGCATGGGAGACTGGGTACTCTGAGCACAAGGGAGAAGAGTGAGCTCTCCAAGGCAGTGGCCAACATTTCCTTGCAAATGACAGCTTCTCCTTTCAGTCTGTGGAAAGGAGATCACCAGTGGCCTAGAGTCTCCAGACCAGTAGCCCCTGCAGTCTCTTAACCTTTGGAGTGTGGAAGGAGAGGGTGAAGGGGAAGAAATGAAGCCAGTACCTTGATGCCTGCACTCCGACACTTGCCCACAGCGTCTGGCACAGCAGCCCGGGGGGGGTCGATCATGGACATGAGCCCTACGAAGCAGAGCTTCTCCGTGGGAAAGTTAAGTTCATCTGTGTCAAATCTGAAGCCACGGGGAAACTTTCCAGAGGGCAGATTCAGCTGACAGAACCCTGAAAGGGTGCAGAAGGAGAGAGTGAGAGCAGGAAGGTGGCTGCCTGAATACCCCTGAAGCCTCTCGCCCTAGGGAAGGCCCTGAGGATTGGGAATCCCTTTCTTATCCCTGTTCCTTGTTTCTGGACCCTTACCCAGCACGCGTTCCCCCAGTCCTCCCAGCTCCATGTAGGCATTCTGAAAGGCGTCTTGCATCTCCTTGTCCAGGGGGATCTCCTTGCCCTGCACCAAGATGGAGGAGCACCGGTCCAGGATGCGCTCTGGGGCCCCCTTCATCACCAGCACATGGCTCTGGGGACTGTCTTCTCGCTCGTGAATGGACAGCTATAGAGAGGATGACTGGTGTCAAAAGGGGCCATACTTGTCTTATTAGCTCCAGAGCCCAGCATGGAGCCTGGGACAGAGCAGAGGTTGGTAAGAAACCCTCCTTTAATATAATCACTGCTGACTCATTCACCCTTGTCAGCATAGGGACAGTCTATGTGTGGAGCAGGGTTTTGATCTCACAGTCCCAACCCTATAACCTGAGAGTCACCTTCCCATAAGACATTCATTGACTCAACAAATATTTATTAAGATCAGTTAAGACAGGCACTGTTCAGGGACTAGATGGCTTTCTTGTCAGCATTCCCCACCATCATACTGGTCTCAGTGGGGCTTTACCTCTATGGCCTACACAGGACATAGCTGAGACTGTATTCTTGGCATTTAATAGAGGCCTACTGTCTGAGGAATACTCTAAGGAAATTTCAGAAGTATGTTCTGACTGAGTGGGATAAAAAGGTTGAGAGACTGGGGACAGAAGACAGGGAGTTCTGGGAAAATCCAAGAGGGTTGAAGCAAGGAATGAAAGTTTGGGAGCTAAGGGGTAATGGCAACCAGATGTATAGTCACCCATATTACCCTGGGTAATATATTAGGGGTGAGAGGGCATGATGTCAGATGCACCTCCCTCATGTTGTTGATCCTCTCTTGACTTTGTGCACCCTCCATTTTTGTCCCTCCCTTTCCCCTGCCCCAATGCTCCATCCAGACCTGGTATTTGTTGGTGGAGTTGAAAGGAATCTCTGCCACCTTGGGGTTTCTGTCCCTCATCTTCCTCACGGAGCCACAGGACAACTCAATACACTTGAGCAGAGCTGACTCAGAGGCATCACCAGCTGTGTCACGCTGCCAGAAGAGAATTCAGTATTATAATGAGGCTGGAGAAGGATGGAGGACCAAGGTGAGAGGGCACTGAAGCCTTGAAGGCTGCCAGAGGGTGCGAGAGGGGAAGCTGGGCATCAGCAAAGTGAACAGGATATGGCAATGCCCTGTTCTACTACCTTAGACACAGAGATGTTCTCCTGCCCTGCTTTGAAGACAGCACGGTTGCAGAGTCCAGCAATCCGAGACAGGGCCGTCCATGTGGGAGATCGTTTGTCAAAAGTGGCCCCTGGGAGAAAATGAGGGAGCTTGGTTCCCCTTTAGAACTCTTATCTCTCCCCACCCACTCTGCCACCCAGTGTCCTGGGCATCCTCAAGAAAGAACCCTTCATCCTTCTGGGGTGCACAATCACCAGACTGGTCTTCAGTGGTGTCAGCCTCATGGATCTGGTTGTCAAACCACATGTGGGCGACAGTCATGCGATTCTGGGTAAGGGTGCCGGTCTTGTCAGAGCAGATGGTGGAGGTGGAGCCCAGGGTCTCCACTGCCTCTAGGTTCTTCACCAGACAGTTCTTCCTTGCCATGCGCTTGGCTGTCAGGGTCAAACATACCTGGTAGAGAGAGAGGAGAATAAATAAGGGCCAAGCCTAAGCCAGAGGTATCTATGACTTTACCCCAGAGTATGATTTTATCCCTTCTCCCTTGGTTCTACTCCATAAACATTAGTGGGACCTAAGTGTGAGCAGTTGAACAGAGATCATAGATGTATATTTAGGTGAAATGTCCAGTCTGGCAATCAGAAATTTGTCTAGAGCTCCAGAGAGGGCCAGAATAGAGCTGGGCATAAGGATGTGAGAGTAACCCATACAGAACGGGTACTGAAAACTGGGCTCACTTAAGTGTGTAAGGAGGAAAGCAGAGAGCTGAGGCCTGAAAACCAGTATTGAGAAGAGAAGACTCTGCCAGGGACAGAGGAGAGGAGAACCAGGATAGTGACACATCAGTGATCGGTGAAGGAGAAGATTGTAGGCAGGTGGATGGCAGGTGGTCAGCAGTATTTATTTCAGCAGCTGTGTTAAGGATGGAGCTGAGAAAAGGTCACTGGATTTGGTAGGTAGTCAGTGGTGACCTTTGAGAAAGCCTTTACAAAAGGGCCAGGATGATCTCCAGACTACAGGGGCAGATGAATAGTACATAGGTGGTGAGAACAGGAGACTATGACAAACTCTAGGAGAGAGACTGCATGCCAAAATGTAGCCCCACCTGAGACTTTTCAGACTCAACCTTTGAGCCATGTATTAAATGATCATTTTCAGACTCACACTGTAAGCTATGTACTAAATGAGAATTTGTTATGTGATTTTAGGGGTTGGCAGTGAAAAAAATTGCTGAGAAGCAACAAGCTTCTATCACTTCTGAGGAAAGGGTAACAAGGCCCTCCCCTGGTGGCACCTCAGTCTGACTACTCACAGTGACAGTAGCCAGCAGACCCTCAGGCACGTTGGCCACAATGATGCCGATGAGGAAGATGACTGCCTCCAACCAGCTGTAGCCCAGGATGAGGGACAGCACGAAGAAGGAGACACCCAGAAACACAGCCACCCCTGTGATCAGCTGGATGAAGTGTTCAATTTCCATGGCTATAGGGGTCCGCCCAACTTCCAGGCCTGAGGCTAGAGTGGCTATGCGGCCCATCACTGTCCGGTCACCTGTGGCAATCACGATACCCCTGGCAGTGCCTGCAACACAGGGAGGGACACCAGGCTGGGTGCCTTTGGTCTAAGGAACTGAAGTCCTGCCCTACTTTCTGAGAAAGGAAAACCATTCCAGAGTAAATGAACCAAAGACTCTGATCCTGGAGTTTCAGTAGATTGTATCTAAATCTCCAATCCCAGACTGAGTACAATAGCAAATTATTTTATCTTACACTTGGGCCTGCAGAAAGGGCTTTCAAATAAACTCAAAGTTAAAAATGAGTAGATTTAATAAGTGCAAAAAATATTGCCTGCAATACTTTAGTAAAATTAATCTCCTACTTATTATCCAAAAGCATTATTATGAACACAAAAGAAGGCACTTATGGATTTTTCCATGTAGTCTTAGGATTTTCTTTCTTTTAAAAAAATTATTTATTTACTTTTAGAAAGAAAGAAAGGGAGGGAGAAAGAGAGAGAGAGAGAGAAATGTCAATGTGCAAGAGATACATTGATCAGTTGCTTCTCACATGTCCCCAACTAGGGACCTGGCCTGCAACCCAGGCATGTGACCTGGCTGGGAATTGAACCAGTGACCTTTTCGTTCATAGACTGTCATTCAGTTCAGTGGGCCACACCAGCAAAGGCAAGATTGTCTTTCTTAACATTAGGCATGAATCTCCATAGAAGAAATAAGGCAATTACTGACCTTTATGTAGATACTAAAGGGCCTTTGGGAGAAGAACAGCAGGACAGTGAGGACAGTGAGAAGAGCATGCTAGTTAGAATCAGCCAAATTGGAGTTTGAATCCTTATTTGAATGCCTACCAAGGGGTTGTTTTAATAATTAAATAAGATAGTGCTGTAACACACATAGACCAGTGTCTCACATATAGTAGGTACTCAACAAATGTTAGTTCCATTCATTTCCTGTACTGTCTTCAAAGCCAATTTCAGAGCAAGCAGTGGAAATATTTCACTAGGCATCTTTAACAATTGTAGGAAAAGCAGAGCAAACTTTAGAATCTCAGCACATTAAAAATTTAGGAAATTTAATGTGTGGTGATTTTCATTGTAATTCAAAGTTGCTGAAAGAGGAGAAAAGCCCAGAGAAACACAATCCACTGAAGAGAAATAACAAATATGAAGGGAAAGGTGTGGAGGTGGGGTACAAAGTCTTCTTTGACATACTTTCTGAAGCCCATGGTCTTTTCAGGCCTCTTTCTTCCTCTAGCTCTTGCCTCATACTCCCTCTCTGAGTCAGTTCTGACTTGATTCACTGGAATGATCACAGAAGGCACAGGCTGCAGTTGTACTTGGACCCTAACCACTAATTGGTGGCAGCTTTGGGAGTTCTCTCTGGCCTTTGGTCATCTCTAGAACCCAGAACAGGAATGGGGCAAACTGGGCAGCCTAAGCATGACAATTTCTCTTGGTGAAGCACAGTCCTAGATATAGCCTAAAGAAGGGCCTAAATGTCCATCTGGCATGGAAGTCTTCCTTTCCCTTCCCTAGGCGTGGGCTCTGGTGAAAGCAAGGACCAGAGAAGGAGGCAACTAGTCCCACACGAAAAAGAAACAGAAGGCATCAGTCAAGCCAAAGACATTCAGAAGTCAAGGCTGGCTTGGGACATGTGTAAATGTGAGTGTATGATGTGTGTGTATGTGTGTGAACATGTATGCATGTGAGTGGGTGATGCGTGTGATTTGTGTATATATGAGTATGTGATATATGTGAGTATGTGTGTCATATGTGTGAGTATGAGAGTGTGTATGAGTGTAGGGGGACCTTGGCCAAATACCTAGGGTATTTGGAGTTCACTCAGTGTTGGGCTGGACAGAACAGAGATCTGTCTGTAGGGGGGTCACTTTTCCATGGAGTCATGCCATCCCAGCCAATACCCTGCTCTCTGGATGGTACTATTTCTGTAATATTTAGGAATCCCCACCCTCAAACCCTCAATCCCCTCCTCTCTAGCAGGGTTTTTTGACAAGTAACTACAGCCACAGCCCCCAATCCTGATTGGGAGTTCAAGATTCAGACTCCTCCCTTAGTGGGTGCTTGGATGGGGAGCCCCCAACTAAGGTAGCCTCTCACCTTCCACACAGTTGGTAGAAAAGAAACAGATATTGCGAGTCTCCAGGGGGTTCTCATGGGTAAACTCAGGGGAGCGGGTCTGGGGTTCTGACTCGCCAGTTAGGGATGAGTTGTCCACCTAGGAAGAAAGAAGGAAAGGTATAGTCATCAGACTGGCAGACACACTTGTGCACATACAGTTGTCTCCTGACTCCAACTGTACTCAATCTCCATGACATGAGGAACAAAATTACACTTGTCCTCATCACACATTTATAGCATTACTCAGCTATTGTCCCTGTACTGGTTTGGAATTTCAGCTCTTACTAAATTCTTATGTGACCCTGGGCTAATTACTTAACCAAAACAGCCTCCATTCATTCATCTGTAAAATGTGGAATGTATTCAGAATCTATGCATTGCACAACTGCAGGGGGTACCACCAACAATGTAGTTTATGAAAATGGCACTACCTAGTGTGGCCACATGCAACAGCCATGCATGATCAGACTATTCTTACAGAGTTGAATCACATGACACATGTGAATGTACATAAAGCATCTGACAATAATTGGTACTCAATACAAGAAGGCTATAAAATGGATATCAAAGAAATACCTAGGGCACAGAGCATTCATCACACACAGATACAAAGAGACAATGCATAAACACTATTTATGAGACAAGGTGCAGCTGTCAGGTATGTGGGCAGGAGTAGGCATTTGGACCTGGGTCTCCCAATCTTCTGACCTCTAACTGAGTCCCTTTCAGGTCCATACAGCCTTCATAGGCCCAGCCAGTTGCTCTGGCATGATCTCCTCACCTTACAGCCATGAGAAGAGATGATCCGGAGGTCAGCAGGCACGCGGTCTCCACCCTTCACCTCCACCAGGTCTCCCACCACCACTTCCTCCGCATTGATCTGCATCTTCTCGCCCTCCCGCACCACGAGGGCTTGCTATAGGGAGGCCACAGGCATCTAATGAAGTGCTTGTCTCTACCGCTACCTCCTTCTCTTACTGGTCTCCCAATTTTCCTTCAACCCCACTAAGGAGAAGAAGAAGCCTGGCACTCTTAGCAATAAAACTAGGTCCTGGTGTGGAGAGCTAGAGGGACTTTTTGGCCCAAGGCTTTCATTTCAGAGCACAAGAAGTTGAGAAGGGATGATCTAGACCTTCCTAGAAACATTATGCCCCAGTCCAGAGCCCAGCCTGGCCAGCTACCTGTGGAACCATATTTTTGAAGGAATCCATGATCTTGGAGCTCTTGGCTTCTTGGTAGTAGGAGAAGCAGCCAGTGACGATGACTACAGCTGCCAGCACCACACCTAGATATAGCTGGTGAAGGGAAAGTGTTTGAGAGACATGCCCATCTCCCATCCCTAAAGGGGTAGCTGCCAAGTGGGACAAGGATTAAATGCAATCTTTGTGAATAGAAGTGAAAATGGTAGAGAAAAGTTCTCTCTAATCTCCTCCTCAATCTTCTAGTCTTCATCCTACTAAGCCTGGAGGAGGCATGCAGAGTCTTACGGGGTTCCCAGAACTAGGATATCACTAGCAAGTAAAGACCAAGGAATGGTGGACAAGCCCACTTAAGTGTGAAAGAACAGAGATAGACTTTCTCATTCATGAATGATTGTGTATGTGTGTGTTGTGGTATTTATAGATATGTATAGAAGCCTCACCCCTTTTCAGCCTACAGAGCACTACGACGTGAGGGTCTTGTTCCCTGCCTCCCAGCTATTCTGGAGATTTGGGGTTAGAGGACAAAGTCATGGGCTGGTCCAGGGATCAGGCATTCCAGCTCACATTGTCGTTGGATGGTTCATCTTCCATGGCAGCCTGTATGCCATAGGCCAGGAAGCAGAGGATGGCCCCAATCCACAAAAGGATGGAGAAGCCCCCAAAAAGCTGGCGACAGAACTTGACCCACTCAGGTGTTGTCGGAGGTGGAGTGAGGGCATTGGGCCCATCTCGAGCCAGGATGTCCTGGGCCCGCTGGTTGGTGAGGCCCTGCAGGAGGCAAGGGGGAGTGCAGGAGTTTGTATCCAGAACCAATCCAGCCCCTCACCACTTCTTACCAACACTTTGGAAGAGAATAATATCCAAGCGGAGAGGAAAATCCCACGTGGTTGGAAGGGGTAAGGGACCATCAGGAGAGGCCACATGAAAGAGGTGGTCTTGGCAATGGGTGTCAGAGGCCTTGAAGGCTGAGGAGAACTTTGAGTGTGGCCCCTTTTCTGGTCATCATTGGATTGAGACACATTTTGGGCCACAATAATCTCCTCTGGAGGTAGCTTGGCTGAGGCTTCCTGGAAAGACATCTCAATTGGTCCCTCCCCCTACCTCTCTTCTTTCAGATTCCCCACTTCACCAAGGATTTAAGAAGAGCCCTACATTATTGACCATCAATGTCATCCAGCTTCAGCAATCGCCCATCACTTTTCCCAGAAAGCATCGCCTGGCCCAGATCCCCTAGCTTCAGGCTGATTCAGATGCCCCTCTCCATATCATGTTGTATCCTAGGCAGTACCACATGGTACTGGAATTCTATGTTTGCATTCCCTTTTGCTACTAGACTTTGAGATTCTTAAAGGCAGAGGCCACTTTTTATTCATCTTTCTATCTATGCACTCACTTATTTAATAAATGTGTATTGAGTGCCAGGCTCTATTATTAGCTCTGGGGACCCAGAGATAGATAAGACCCACTAAGTTCCTGCCTTTTGGAGCTTATGATCTAGGGAGGTGACACACAATCAGTAAACATTACTGCCAAAGAGTGAAGTGTTACCAAGGGAAATAAAGTAAGGTAAAGGAATGGAGGCATAGAATTTTCAAAAGGGCAATCAGGGAAGGCCTACAGGAAGAGGTTATACTATTACATTTTTGATTAATAATGTTTTTTTTTTTGAAGTTATGGGCTTGGCAATTTGACTGTGCTGCTTATTATAGTTGTGACCTTAGGAAATTGCTCTCCTCCTCTAAGTCTCCTTACTCTAAGAAAGAGGCCCACAGCACCTATCTCTGAAGGTTGTTGTAAAGATTGGAAAAGTGTATGTAAAGCATTTATCACATACTTCATACATAGCAGATCCCCAACATACCACTGTGTTGAATAGTGATGGGTCATACCACAATTTCATGTATATCAGTACCATGAGAGGTTGTGCATCACTGAAGCTATTTGAAGTAGAGGGACAGTCCTGCCTGGAGGACCCTCTGGAGTCTGGGTTCTAAGTAGTCCTAGCTTTCAGGTACACAGGAAAAGAGCTATAGACTAGAAAGCAGGGAATCTGGGTTCTAGTTCTGGTTCTGCCATCAACTAGTCACTGGGCCTCAGTTTCCCCATCTGTAAAGAGAGATTACAGTTTTAATGTCCCTTGCACCCTGCTGCTGCATGGTTCTCTCACCTCTTTGGTGTCCTCCCCAGAGCCCTCCACTCACCTTGGATAGGTCCACTTGGTATTTGCGGCCCAGCTCATCCAAGGATAGCTTGTGGTCATCCTGGAGAAGGGAAACCAAATTACTCTGGGGAGCGAGGTTTTGCATGTGTGAGAGCATGCACACGTGTGCACGCACGTGTGTGTTTGTGTGTTTAGAATGCATGTGAGGTCAATGAGGGACAGAGAGGTGAAGGAAGGTGCGGGGTAGGCCAGGGGCATGAGCTTCTTCGAGTGCACCAGACTGTGGGGCACCTCTCCTAGCATGGGACCCCTTTCCACAGCCCAGCTTGGCAGGCTGTGGGCCTCACCATGGCCACCTCCTTTTTCAGCTCATCCAGCTCCTTCTCTTTCTGTTTCTTCTTGCCACCTCCATTCTCTGCAGTAGTGGCTGCAGGTGAGTATTCACGTCCAGCCTGCAGAAAAAGGGAGATTCCAGAGAGTCAAGGAAGACACAGCCTATAGCCTCTATTCACACCTGACAGCAGGGAGCCCAGACATTGGGAGTGGAGGCAGTGGATTCAAAGCAGTGATATCCTAGTGGGGGCAAGGGGTGTTGAGGATACCCCAAGCACTCAGCTTGAAAACTATTGGCAGAGTCATGGGGCTCTATGTTTGAATTTCACAAAAGACTGAGAGGCTCAGGACTCAGAAGCCCACTTTTTTCTTTAATTGTTTTATTGTTGTTCAAGTATCAGTTGTCTGCATTTACTCCTCACCACTCCTGGCCCCACCCCAGTCCTCCCCACCTCCCTCCCCTGATTCCACTCTCCCTTGGTTTTATCCATGAGTCCTTTATAGTTATTCCTGAAAACCTTTCCCCCCTTTCCTCTCATTATTCCCTCCCACCTCCCTTTGGTTATTGTCAGATTGTTCTTAATTTCAATGTCTCTAGTTATATTTTGCTTGCTTGTTTGTTTTGTTGATTAGGTTCCACTTAAAGGTGAGATCATATGGTACTTGTCTTTTACAGCCCAGCTTATTTCACTTAGCAAAATGCAGAAGCCCACTCTTAATTGTTTAATAGTTGGGCTTCTGCTAAGGTTTTGTTTGTTGAAAGAATCCTACTGCTAAATACAAAAACAAAATAAACCAAAACTTTAAAACCATGACCATATACCATTTAAAATGCTGGAAGGAGGTGGGCAGGATTGGGTGGGTGGTAGGGGGCAGAAGCACCCTGCAGGGATGTCTTTGTCCCAACACCATGGTTACTTTATTCAGAGAGGAGTAGACAGTTAGGAATCTGGGGGAGTAAGAGTCTTTGGGGAGGCAGGGGTGAGGACATGGAAGTGTCTTGAGGAAGATGAGGAGCCAATAGGGCTTGGTGGTAGAAAGTGGACATAGAATGAGCAGGGCTCATGGACTCAGAGAAGTCAGTAGTTGGAGGGTCAGAGTGTGTTCAGAAAACAAGAACCCTTGGAGAGGGCAGGCCTTCTGCAGAGGGGATTTGGGCAAGAGGCAATTTGTAGGACTTTGGGGGTAAATAGACCAGGCCCCATTTGTCCAAAAGTTTTAAAAAATGTCTTGGAGGATCAATCTAAAACTAAAATGCATGTCGCTCTCAGGTCTAGGCATCCCTGGGACCTCTGGTGAAATCAGGTAAACATTTTAGCAGGAGCCTCATGAGGTCAACATTTTCCCTTTCCTCTTCACCACCTGAGCTCTCCTTACCCAAACCAGGCTTCCAGAGACTCACAGGGAACTTCTGGGGAAGAGGGTGGGAAATTCCTCTTCTCAGGGGAAGGCTGTCTTGAGGAGATGAGACAGGAGGAGGCTAGGAAGGTTTAAGGTGGCCATGACAAGTATCTTTTCACTCCCTTTCTCTCCAAGTCCTTGTCTTGCCCTTCCCTCAAGATATTGTGTCCTTGTCACAGGGGCTGCTCAGTTTCTGCCTCCATGCTGGTTGTTCCAGGATGAGATTTTCTATATTAGGTATAATTTTTTTTCATAAGAAAGGGATACCTAGATGGAATTTATGGCTAAGATGTTTGCCCTTTTATGAAGTATAATGCATTTTTTAAAAGTACATTTTTCTTTTAGAGCAGTTTTAGGTTCACAGCAAAATTGAGCAGAAAGTACAGGAAGGAATTTTTCCCCTATATCCCTATTCCCATATGTGTAGTTTCTCTCATGATCAACATCTCCCACCAGAGTGGCACACTTGTTTCATTCTATGAACCCACACTGACACAACATTATCACTCAAAGTCCAGAGTTTACCTTAGGGTTCACTCTTGGTGTTATACATAATACAGGTCTAAACAAATGTATAATGACATGCATCTACCATTACAGTATCATACAGAGTAGTCCCACTGCTTCAAAAACCTTTGGTGCTCCAGTATAATGCCTTTGTTTCCAATCAGATTCAGGAACAATTCCAAGAATGCAGCAGCTATCCTGATCATAGACACAGAATCCAGCCCTTATAGAGGGAGGAGTCTGACCAGTGACATCAAGATCAAAGGAAGTGTGCAGAGGGAGTGGACACCATGTTTCCCTAGACACTACAGTTTGCATTTATCTCCATATAAAGTGTCCATGAGACTGAATCAGCCCTTCAGAGAAGTGGGGAGGGCTTGCAAAGAGTGCTGCCTTTCCCTTCCCCAAGTGACTTAAGATTGTTCATTGAATAGATCAAAATGCTTTGGATTCACTAATTCTGTCCTTGGTGGGACAGGACTAAGAAATGATGAAAAGCAAATGATCAGGCTGGATGAGCTTTATTGTTGTCCTTGGAGCTTTAGTGAGGCTGTCTGGATTTAAAGGGGCAGGGAGGAGGTGGAGGCTTCCATCCCTTCTCCCCACCATACAGTACACAGAGGAGGTGTGCAGCTGGGGCAAAGGAACCAGAATGCCTGAGAATTTCTATACATTCATATGTAAAATAAAGTTCATGAGGCTTAGAATCAAATGCCTGGTTTTTAAAAAAAAATTGCCAGCTCACGCACTTTGGGTATATTGGATGGTGGCTGAGCTAGTGGCCTCATGAGCACCCCCTTCCCTCAGTTCCCACCCATTCTCCTGGCACATAGTTTAGGACACACAGCCCCTTCCCCCTCCCCCTGCCCTGGCAAGGATCTCAGCCTCTCTCGCCAGCAGCCTGTGGAGATTTGGGGCCAGCAGGCTGCCCAAGCAAGAAAGAAAGAGAGGAAGCAAGGACTCCCCCCACCTCCAAAGACTGTTCCTCCCTCCCCCAACCAACAAGTTCCAGTCTGGGGCTTGAATGCTGAAGGAGAACAGAGAGTTCTTTCTGAGAAAGCCAGAGGCAGGGACAGAGTGGGGGAAGCTGGAATTTAGCCACTACCCCCACCCCCAGCCTCTTGGTGGCAGCTGGAGCTGGCGGGTTCTCTCCCACCAGTGTTGCTCCTTCCCCCAACTCCAACACTGCCCTTTATGGGCACAGGGTGATGGGGCGACAGTTAGTCCTTGATCTGGAGGGAAGATGCAGGGGAAAAGGGATAGAGGCAGAGTGAATCCCAATGTGGGGATGCAGATGGAGGGGTGCTTTTTGTCCTAAGAGGTCTTCTGGTAGGCTGAATTCCAAGTTCCAGCCCTAAGTCCTCCGACTTTACCCATTCTTTCAGTCCAAGCAGAACTGGATCTGCTCCCTGACCTGATGCTAGGGGTGGCAGGGAAGGGGACTTTATGAATGCTGGGAGAGAATAACAGACTCCAAGCAGCTGTAGTACCCTAAAGAAGTCAAGATCAAATGGCTTAGGGTCTACCCTGTTCTAAGGTGGAACAGTGGAGAGGGTTTGTGGTGGGGGAATAGAGGGTCACCTGGTTTCTCCTAAGAGGTCCTACAACTTAGCTGGGACTCCCTTTTCCTCAGGAGTTTCCTTCCTTCCTCTCCCTCCACACCCCACCCCACCTCACACCAAGGTGCAGCTGAAGGTCCCAAGAGCGAATATCTTCCCACGGTTGCCACTTCTTCCATGAAGCCCTCCCTCAGAGACAGCTCCTCACAGACACTTACAATACCCCCACTTCCAACATACACACTGTCATTGATGTCCACTCATGCTAGGAGTTTTGTACATTCTCAAATTTACCCACTGAGACAAAAACAAGTGCTCATCCATGAATATATGTATCAACTTCAGCATATGAGGAGCACATGGGTTGCAGGCAAGCAGACTTGAGTGCATATACACACAGGTTCTATTTATAGTTCCCATCCTAGCTCAGGAACCCTGGTGTCCAAGCTTAGAGTTTTCCCAGCTGCTAAACTCAGTGCAATAACAAGTCCTTGCCTGACCCCTGCTGAGCCCAGAAACACCCCACAATCCCATAGGCCCCCTCTTTCCTCAGCAACCCCCATGGCTCCCTGTGCCCTTTCCCTCTGTGCCCAGCATTGCACAAAGGGAAAGTAGTAGGAGCAGTGTGTAAAAGGATTGAGCCACTTTTCTCCATATAGAAATTTCATTTCCAAGTATCCAAGGCCTGGTGCCTGTCCCTCTCCCCGAGTCACGGTTGTTAACCTTCTCCTTGACATACCCAGTGCTGCAGAGTATCACTGGCAGTGCTGGACAGGGGTGGGAGGCAGGGGGCTGGCAGCTCTCACCAGCCTCTGGGAAAGTCCTCAAAGCCCGTGGCCCAGACAATGCTGCTAGGAGATTTTGGAGGAGTGCTGGGCTGGAGCCTGGGGGCACATCATTTTTAATCACCACACCCTTCCCAGCTGTCCTTGGAACTCAGGGCCCCTGGAGCTGGCTTCCAGAGCTGCTTGGTGACTGGGGAGCAGTTGCTCTCCTGCCCTTCTTTGATCTCAGATTGGACCTTCATCCTCTCACGCTGGGACTCCCAGAGAAATTATTATTTTCAGGAGTGGTGAAGGCAGGAGGATCAACAGTGCCAATATCCCTTCAGCTGGAAGGCCAGGAGATGCGGTGAGAGAGGAGGGGCTGTGCCAGATATAGGACAGAGATTCAGAGGCGCTGGAGTGAAAGCTGGAGGGGATGTGATGCTGATCATAGGGTGCCGAAGAGAAGAACATTTGGGCATGTGAGGAGTGGATCTGTGTGTGTGTTTGTAGCTAAGAGACAGTTTCAGGTTCAAATCACCCCAGCGGGTCAGCTTCTCTCTGGCCCTCCCTCCACATCCCATCCCACCTCATGCTTTCCCTCTAGCCTCCAGACAGCCCTTCTGTTTCCCACAGAGCCACCCCAGCTCTTTGGGGATACTCACCCCACGGCCCATCTTGGGGCGAGTGGCTGAGGGGATCTAGACTGGAGAGATTAGCAGGAGGATTCACAAGCCCAAACTGCAGTCTGGGAAGGCCAGAGACCCAGGCAACCAGACAGATGGCCAGCAACAGGGTAGCTTTAAATAGGCCCCTCTCCCCCTCGCCTCCGCCTTCCCCTCTTCTGGAAAGAAACGTTTGTTGAAACAGGATCCCTGAGGACTCCTCCCCTCCCGCCTCTTAAGCAACTGGCAGTGGCAGTCAGTTTGTCCTGCTGTGTGCTCCCCCTCAACCCCCTCCCGGTGCTCTGGGAGAAGCGGGAGAGTGGGAATGTATGCCCCTTAGGGACAAGTGGAGGGGAGTAGTGCTCCCAGAATCCTAGGACACTAGAGGACATATGGTCCACCTTTTCTTTTTTTTCTCAATGGGGAAACTGAGGCCCAGAGAGATTAAACAATATGAGTTGATAGAACCAGAAACCAGGTCTCCTGATCCTACTACATCCAACCCCCTCAGAGAAACAAACAGATTGTTCCCTACTGTAGAGATTATAGGGACACTGAAGCTGGAAACAGTAGCTAGTGCAGGAACTCAAGCCTAACCCTTGTATATGAGGTACCTTGGAAGAACCCTGGTGAGAGCCAAAGGAGGCTGCAAAGGCAGAAAAATGTCTGGAGAAGGCAGCAAGAGGGCATTGTCTTCACTGGAAGGGGTGGGAAGGGGTGTCCATAACTTTGTGCCAGTTAGTACAGGGGTAGAAGAGATGAACCAGGGTGGGACCAGCTGATCTGGAGGTGTTGTTGCTGCCCATTTGATAAGAGTCAAAGAATGAAGTGCAAAGGGAGGAAAGGAGAATAAAAAGGGGCAGAGAGAGAAGAAAAACCCACTCCTGCCTTCTCCCTGGAGTATTCAGAGGAAGGATTCCCCTGGAGGGTCCCCATTTCTTGGGCACATGGAGGGAGTGAAGGGAAGCCAGTGGATTGGGGGCAGGTCTGAACACCCTGAGCCCAAAGGAAGCTAGGATGAGAGGAGGGAGAGAATGGGACCTTTGGTTCAGAGGCTTCAGGTGCCACTGGCTGGGCTGTGTCCATCCCTGGCCCCAGAGGAGACTCCTTCCAGAGGGATTATAGACCTGTCCTCCCACAAATCCACTCTGAGGACACAGGGCTCAAGTCTGAATTCCCCAAGTTACAGGCCTCCTCCCAGATTTTCCATTACAGGGATTTGGAAAGTCACACCCAAATTCCACCCCTCTTCTACTCCTGGGTTACAAGTAGAAGGGTGGATTGGATGGGGCAGACACCATCACTCCATGGGCCCCTTAACTAACCTTGAATTTGAGCTTGAGGGAGAACAGACAGCAGGAGGAAACAGAGGAAAATGACCTAGTTCAAGCCCCTGTGTGGAGAAAAGAGTGAGAGACATAGCTGAAGATGTAGCAAGAAGTCTTATGGTTAGACATCAGGAAAGACTGGTAGGGAAGTCACTACAAGTCACTAGCCACAGGTGGCCAGGTCACTCAACACTGGGGCTGCTGAAGGGCAACTTTGCTCTGGGGTCAGAGTGGATGAGAGGATGACTTGGGATTTAGGAAGCACCTGTTCCTTAGTTTTGGCATCCTGCTTTGGCATCCTGGGTTATCTTTTGCCCAGCCCTCTTCAGGACACAAGGTAGATAGATTAAAAAAAAAAACAAACAAACAACAGCCTCCAAACCAAACGGTGTATAGATAACAGGTGCTGGGCTGTCACAGTTTTTACTCTTGCACCCTCACCCTGCTGGTACCTCCCAGAACTGCCCAGTCCTTCCAAGGCCCTGGCTCTTGTCCCTGTGGCCAGGCCCAGAACCAGAAAGGACTGTGCCCTCCTGTGTCCATACAGCTTGGCGAAGCTCCTTGCCATGCTCTGTACTGGGGCCAGTGCACAGCCCCAAGGGCACTGATGCTCCCATATTTGGGGCTCAGATGAAAGAAAGAGTGGACAGGATATCCAGGACCCATTTCTCACCCATGTGTCCCTGAACACCCTCCCTGCTCAGGTAAGTGTGGAGACCCTGGGAGTCTCCCTCCTGCTCCTCTACCGTGGACCTCAGTCAGACTCCAGGACATAAATGGAGTCTGGTCCTTTTGATCTGGGGTGCCTGGGTTGGGCTACTTCTTTCTTTGAACACAGCCAGTGGTATCAGTTTAGATCAAGGCCCTTGGAATGAGAGGAACAAAACAGAGAGTAAAAAAGACTTGAAAGTAAGACATGGGAAAGTCAGGATGACTGGTCTGGGGAGTGGGTTTGAAAGTCATAGGGCAGAGAGGCAATTGACAAAGTGCAGGATGGAGGATGCTAAATCCAATGTGTGCTTGGTGTGGGCAAATCTGGGAAGTAGGAGATAGAGGGAAAATGAGAGAATGAGACAGAGGATAGTACATGGCGCACATCTGTACATATATCTGTGTGTGTGTGGACATGATTATGTGAGATCTGTGTCGGGGGGAAAAGACCATGTGAATGTACCAAATGGTAATTTCAGTGTAGAAACTCCTTAAGACAGCAGAAAGCAACACTCACTTGGATGTGGGGTCAGTCTGTTAAAAATCAGTTGTTTGTGTAGTGATGTGTGAGAGTGTGTGTGTGTGCATGTGGCCAGCCAGGGAGTGTGTGTGGGTGTACGTGAGAGTTCATGGGAGAATTCATGGGAGTGCATGTGTATGTACATGAAGGGGGGTGGGGGTGCAGCTCAGCTGCAGTTGGGTTTTCAAGGTCTCCAAGGAACTGTCTTGTTTCCTAAGTGACTGGCCTCCTGGGGCCTCCAGCCCAGACTTGAAGGTTGTTTCAAGATCAAGAAAGAGAGAGAGGGAGGGAGAGTGGGAGAGAAGGAGCACTGGGAGTTTCTATCACCCACACTGTTCTTCCTCCCGCCCCCTCACCCCTCTTCTCTGCCCCAGTCCTGATTTGGGCCAAGCTTACCAGTCCTGCTTGCTCTCTTTCTCCTCCCTATGTCCAGCCCTCTCTGGGCAGTCATGTTTTTCCCTCCAGCCCTGCTCCATTCTCTCCAACTCTCTCTCTTCTTCTTCAGGGCTTGTGGTCTTGTCACCAAGGCCAGGCTTCTGGGACCTTTTGGGGGTGTGGGTGAAATTTTATTCTTCCAAGGGGAAGCTGCCTTGGGATGATAGGATGGACAAGGGAGTCTGGAAAGGCCTTGGGGGGGCGGGAGTGGCAAGGGAATGACAAGTTTCCAACAAAGGTGCCTTTTATTTCCCCTGTCTCTCCAACCCTCTTTCCTCCCACTTCCTAAAGAATGTAGTGACCTTGTGGTGGAAAGGTTTAGCTCAAAGCCACAGAGTGGCTGTTCATAGTCCTGCTGCTTCCTCAGTTTCCCCACTGGATTACAGGGATGGTACTGGGTTTTTGCTTTGTCTCTCCCTTAATATCTGCTCCTCTGCTTTCTTTCTGGTCTTTCTTTTCAGTCTACTCAAAATGGATTCTGAAAACCTCTTCCTCTGACTCCTTTTGCTTCTCTTACCTTTAATCTTTTCCCCAGATTATTTTTATAATTTTTTATTGTTAAAGCCATTTTAGAAAGAATTTAGAAAATGTAAAAGAGAAAAGAACACCAGAAGAATTTCCCTTAGCCTCTCTGCCCCTGCTCCGATCCTACTTCTTTTGTCTTCTTACTGTTCTCTGGGTTAGAGAGCTTCACGTGTGTGTCCCACCTAGTCACACAGGTAGAAGTATAAAGGAAAAGCAGAAAAGGATAAATGGTGTTACTTAGGGGCCCATGTCAACCCACCTCCCTGAGCATGATAGTCCAGGGCTGTTCTGGGCCTCTGTCTTCCCACTTCCACTACCTATGGCCCCTGCCATGCTCTAGACATGCTCTAGACATGCTCTAGACATGCTCTAGACATAGCTTATAGACATGAAGGGTACATGTCTATAAGTTGGTTATAGTGTTGCCAGTAACCAGCTGTGTGATGCTGAACAAGAGGCACCCCTACTCTGGCCTTGCATCTTCGTCTGAACAACAAAGAATAGAGTTAGAAAATCTCAGCAGTTCCTTTGTAGCTCTGATAACTCACAAATTCCCAAATTCTGGTTATTTCCACCTCAGCTCATGGATCAGCTCAGGTGAACAGGAGAAGTTTCCTGTAGTTGTATCTATTCGAGAACTACCTGTTGGATACCTGGATTAAGAAGATCAAGAGGGCAGGTACTCCTCTTTTGTCTATTAGTATAACCCACAAAAATGAGTCTGATCCCTTTAACTCTTGGCACAAAAGCAAGGAAAGGCTCAGGGTTTGGGCAGAGACCACCCTGGTTTCTTACAGAGAGCCCTTGTGATAGACAACAGGGTTTAGATACATTTGGAGGAGAAGATAGGGCTGGGGATGAGGCCCTGTCCCTCTGAAAGAACCTGATATTTCTTGGCTGGCACTTGATCAGCAAATGTTAGATGCATCTGTTTCCAGAGATTCTTTGGGCTGGGAAAATTATGTCAGAGGTGATGGAGAGGCTGGAGTTAATGGTTCTTGCTGAGTGTTGGGGCAAAGGTCACAGCTGGGCCCTCTAGGGTTCCTATTTTCCTTTGATTCCATCTGGGCAGGGAGGGAGCTGCCCCCCAGCCTCCTGAGGTAGGTTTGCTTTGGCTGGAGATCTGACCCAGCCACTGGCCCAGAACACCCCGCCTCCCCATTCTCCCTATCAAAAGGCAGCCTGGCTTGGACCCCTGCCTTCTTCTTCCTACTTCTTTCTTCCCTTACCAGGCCCCCTCTAATTGACCCAGGGTACAACTCTGTTAGTTTGTCCTTTGGTGTTCCAGATGCCCAGCTAGGACAGAATGCTCTGCAAACATTGGGATGCAGGGCCATATCCTTGCTCCCACATAACCAGCTTTCCTTGGGACTTCAGAGAGCTCAGTCTCCTCTGTGCCTCAGTTTCTCTGCAAGTCTGGAATCCCTTCACTCTTATGCTCCTGTCTGGATGTTCTCAGCATTGCCTCTTGGAGATGTGAGTGCCCCTGGCAAACCAGTCACAGTGCATGCTCATTTTTATGCTGTGGTGTCATCCAGACATTCTCCCAGCATTTGTTAACCACTTAGCTATGTGCCTGCGCAAGGTACTGGAGAGACTATTACAATCAAGATAAGAAAGGTTCCCGTGTGATGGTTCTTTTGTCAGAATCTCATGCCATTTAGTATCGAAATCCCTCTACCCCATCCCTTAACCTAGTCTGCCCAAGGCTTCTTGTAGCCCTCAAGGGCTCTTCTTCATTTCCTCAAGCTACCCCCATTTCTTTACCTTAATTTCTGCTGAGTGACACTGGGTGGGCCTAGGCTCTGCCTCTCATCTATTCCAAAGATGAGGAGCAAAAGCTGAGCCACGAAGTACTGAAAATCGCCCTGGGCTGCACTGGAGGGAGGGCAGCAACTTGCCATACAGGACTTGCTCTACCATTAATTAGCTGTGTGAACTTGAATAAGTCCTTTACTTCTCATCAATAAAGTGAAGGAATTGGACTGGGTAGAGGTTTTCACCCCCACATTTAAAGTTTCATGCCTGTCCTCACCCCCAGGGATCATGTTTTAATTAGTCTGAGGTAGGACCCAGACATCAGTATCTTTTAAAAGACCTCCCAATGATTCAACATACAGGCAGGGTTAAGAATGAACTGAGCTAGATTGTCCCTCAGATCTTGAACTCCTCACAGCTAACAGGTGATGATGCACCATGCTAAGGATTTTAGCCCTTTTAATGCACTACCTAGTCTAGTCCTCATAACAGGTCTAATTTATAGATGAGGAAATGGAGAAACGAAGATCCTGGGAAGCTTCCCCAAGTAGAGGATGCAGACTACAGACCTGGCAAATTCAGGTCCGCTCAAGGTTGTGCTGTCTGGTTCTGGAATTCTAGCTCCAAAATTTTTGACTTAGTTGGGAACACTGAAGCTCTGTTTCATATGCCTGAACTCCTCATTGGTAACCTGCCTCATCCCCTAAGTCTTAGGTTTGTTCTGTCCAATCCTCTATCCCCAGGGACATCTAGTTCAGGAGCTGGCTTCCTCCATGCCAGTGCTTGGTGCCTCAGTGCCCACCTGGAGTGAGCAGTCCTGCTCACCTGGATTCCCTATCACCCTGTTTTGCCAGCTGGCTGGACCTGCACCTTTTTATTCTACCAGACCACAGGACCTTCTCAGGATGATGGTTTATCCTCTACAGAGGCAGCATAGAAACATGGTCCTGACTGCTGTGAGGTCAGAATACCTGGATAAGAAATCTAGTCTACCACTCACTAGACAAAATTTTAGTTTCTCTGAACTTTGGTTTTCTTAACAGCTCTAACTCATCAGATTATTTTGGTAACTCAAATGCTCCATGTGTGTTAGCTATTATTTTCTGCCCTTTGTTTTCAATGTCCTGGCCTTGGTGATGCAGTTTCTGTTCTAGCTGAATCTGATCTCCAGCACCCTCCCCTCCCCTAGATTGTTTCCTGAGGGTTGAAATGTTCTGGCTCTGACACAGGAGAAGTTTTCTGTGAGCTGTGGATCAAAATGACCAGTGTGAGACAACTCCAGAGGCAGCAACAGTGCCCACCACAGAGGCAATCTAGCTATCAGAAAGAACCCAGTTTTCCTCTCTTACTCACCATATTGCTCACTTCCTTGCTTAAGTATTTGGCAAATGTCTATGGAGCTTCTACTCCTTGCCAGGCACTGTGCTAGGCATGAGGGTGGAGCCAAAAAAGAGCTAACAGTGGTCTTGAGGCACTCACTGCCAAGATGGAGATGCAGATATAAACAAGCCCTGAAATGATGACAGTGCAAAGTGAGTAAATGCCATCAAAGGGCTGAGGATAGAGTGCTATGGGAGCCAGGGGCACAGCAGCATCAGAACTCTGGGCCCACTCTCTCCCATAGCAAGTTCCTTCACCCCCACTATCCCATCTGTTTCTTTGTTTTTGTAGTCTTTATTTCTGGCTTTGTTTTCCCTTTGCTTTCCCAATAGAGAACCTTTGGAAAAATTCCACCCTTGTTTCAGTTGGACTAGGGAAAAGAGGGAATTGTCCACTGTTCAGCCAGGACAGCCAAGGGGTGCCAGGTTTCTGCAGAGTCCATGTGTGGACAGTTGTGTTTTCAAGGCTATTGGGGCTTTTCAAAGCTCAGGGGCCATTGGGAGGGAGACCTGGGAAGACTGTGAGACACAGCAGGGAATGGTGACAAGCAGGACCTGAGCTGGGCTGAAATGGCTGTGTGCTCCCATACCCTCCCCCCAGATTTCCCCTCAAGTTTTCTTGTCATCTGTTTTCATTGCGGGAGAGAGTTAAGACCCTCTTCCACCTCAGGGAACCCTGTGAACCACATTTCTCATTCCCTTCCTAGGTGCTATGACAGGCTGGGAACCCAGAGTTAGAAGTGAGCATGTTTGTGAAATCCCCCTTGTCCCATTCTGCCCCCATAACCACCTGCACACAGCTCTCTCACTGATTACTCTTTTGCTGGACCTCCAGAATTGCATTCATTCATTCAACAAATGAACTCCTATTATGTGCTAGGAGAAATACACCAGTATTGGAAAAAGGCAGTTATTTCAAAAGGTTGCATAGGCACCATTGTGTGTGTGTGTGTGTGTGTGTGTGTGTGAGAGAGAGAGAGAGAGAGAGAGAGAGAGAGAGAGAGAGAGATCACACATGTGCATATACAAATAAGTGTGTGCAGATAAGGGAAGCAGGAGAAAGAAGAATGTTAGTAGTTTAAGTTTGGGAGTTAAGCAGCTTGTGTTTGTATGTGGGAGCTACCATTAGCTAGTCAGGTGAACTTGGATAAGTGGGATCATCTCTCTGGGCCTCCTCTCCCATCTGCAAAACAGGTAACAGTCTTGCTCCCCTGTGGGTTGTTGTGAGAACTGTGAGCAGGTGCATGCTGAATACTCACAGCAGAGCCTAGCACAGAGCAAGTATTCAGTATTAGTGAGTATTGATGTCTCCTCACCTTGCTCAGAGCTGGGTGTGGACAAACTGGTAAATGACCTATTCTTTAAATCTGTCTCTTGCTCAACCTCAGTGACACAGAGGCCGCCACCTGGTGCTAATCACCTCCTGCCCGAGAACATCTGTTTCATCAAACCATTGTCATCTTCTGCCCTTGATGAATCTTCATCCCACCTCAGGCTGCCAGATTGTAGAAGACATGATATCACACAGTGGGGAAGGTCCCATGCCACCCTCCAGACATATCTGTGTCATCAGCTCCCTCTTAGCTGGCTGGAAATGGAAGAGAGGGATAGGGTGGAGCCCAGATGCCCAGCCCTATAAAACTGGGGAACAAGGGACTTATCAGTGGAGGGAGGATGAGGGGATTCCACTTCACAGGGATCCCTCCATGGCATTCTGAAGTGGGTGGCATCTGGCATTAATCCTGGGCATAGAAATGACAGGGCCTCCTCTGAAATCATGACCAGGTTGTGCTAAGGCCAGCAGTGGCACTGTTGTTCCTCTATTCTTTTTTTTTAAATTTATTTATTTTTAGAGAGGGAAGGGAGGGGGAGGGGGAGAGAGAGAGAGAAGAGAGAGAAACATCAATGTGCGGTTGCTGGGGGCCGTGGCCTGCAACCCAGGCATGTGTCCTGGCTGGGAATCGAACCTGCGATGTTTTGGTTCGCAGCCCGTGCTCAATCCACTGAGCTATGCCAGCCAGGGCTCCTCTATTCTTTAACAGATGTACCATACCCTAGACACAGTGTTTGAGAACTTGGGAAGGAGTGTGGGCTTAGCCAGGGCGAGAGGAGGGTTCAGGGAATATATACATGCATAGAGGCCGCCATGAAGGTACAGGTGCCTGGCTAGAAAGGAAGTAGGGAGAGGGTTCGATGTGCATATGTGTGTGTGGGAGATGGCTCTGTAGTTCTCTGAGTGTGCTTGGGCACCCATGACCTCTGTGTGTTTATCTTAGTGTATGCCTGGGTGCCCAAGTGTGCAGCTGTTTTGATGTATCACTGCATGAGTTAGTTGTCAAGGTGAAGGCAGGTTTTTGTTCTACCTCTGCCTTATCTCTTCACTTGATCCTCTCAACAAATTAGCAGAGAGAATGTTCCCTTTGGGGATGGTGGAAAAAAATAGCTCATCATGGCAGTATGGGTCAAGGCTTTATGAACACAAATAAATCACAGGATATTCTTGCATGTGTGATCCTTAGCTCCCACCAAGCTGGGATTTATCCATGTTTAAAAGGGGGAGAGCTGCTCCGGCTGGGTGGCTCATTTGCTTGCAACATCATCCTGTACACCAAAAGGTTGCAGGCTTGATTGCCGGTCAGGCCATATACCTAGGTTTTGGGTCTAATCCCCAGTTGGAGCACATACAGGAGGCAAACAATTGATGATTCTCTTTCACATTGTTGTCCCTCCCTCTCTCTCTTCCTTCATCTCTCTCTAAAATCAATGAGCATACCCTTAGGGGAGGATTAAAAAGTAAATAAAAGAAAGAGAGCTGTTTGTGGTATTTCTATGTCTAATGTCAGGTCGGGGTATGTGTGTTTATTTCTTCTTTTTTAAAAGCTTGGGCTAGTACTTCTTTTTTACTGATTTTAGAGAGAAAGGGAGGGGGGAAAGAGAGAAACATCCACTTGCTGTTCCACTTATTTATGCATTCACTGGTTGCTTATTGTATTGATCAATTATTTGATAGCATGATTGTAGATTGTTTTTTACCCCGATATCTTTTTTTTTTTTTACCTTACGTGTGCTTGCTTCTTTGATGTATTTGTCACCCTGTAAGGTGCTGTCTGTCAATAGCTGGGTGTGTATTTATGTGTGCTCGGTCCATGTTTACCTTCAAGTAGCCATGTAACATGGTAGAAACACAGGCTCCTCCACATTCAGACCATTCCAGGTTCACAAATTCCTAAACTTCTGTACACCTGTTTTCTCCCATGGATAATAATAGTACTGACCTCAGGGGATTCTGGTGAAGATTAAACGAGATCATGTTAATCCCCTGGCACAGGTCAGAATATGTTGATGGGTCTATCTTTGGATGTGCCTCTCTGAGAATCATGTCTCATGGTTGTGACATCTCAGCTAGATGATAAACTCCTTTAGAGCAGAGTGTGGGTCTTATTTATCTTTAAAGATACTCAGGACACTTCAGTGCCAACTTGGTACTTTGGACATATGTCATCTAGAGGGGATATTATTACATAATCATGTGAAACACTAGCCTGGAGTCTGATGTATGCCCATACCTGGTGGTACGTGAAGAGCCAGTAGAAAGTGGGTGATGACAGTGACGATAGGCTCCATGGTCACTATACACTTCTCACGTGCCTCTGCAATAGCAGGCTTCCTCCCTTCCTTATGTCTCTGGCTGGCCTGAGGCTCATGTAAAGCCTGCCTTCCTCTTTTCTTTGCTCACGCCACCACAGGTATCAGCCAAGGTGCTGGGTAAGCCTGTGTGATTTTTTTAATGGGCCAGACAGGGAGGATTCAGGAGTAGTTTACAGTCTACACCACATCTCCGTCCTTGGTAGCATGTGTGTGTGTTGTGTGTGTCTGTGCATTGCTCTGTGTCTGCAACATTTTTCTGTATGAAGCTCCTTTGTGTTATCACCAGTACAAGTATCTGTGTGTGTGACAAGCCTCGTGCCTGGTTCTTGCAATCCTCCCCCAGTTTTCCAAGTTATATAAGCATCTGAGGTGTGTCAGGCCTGAGCCATGGGCTCCCCCTGCTGGTGGCCTCTGAAACTCAGTCTGGGGAGGAAAATGCTGTGTTTTGGGGTGGGTGTGTGGCTTCATCCCCACTGGAGACAGTAGTCCTGCCTCCTGTATCTACTTGCCCCAGCTTCTTGAGACTGCCAGAAGTCCTCTCTTCTAACACCCATACTGGGGGTTGGTTATTACTTACTAGTGGTTGGTCTTCTTGGTACAACTACATGTTCCTTGAGCAGGGACCACTCTGGACTTGTTTACTACAGATTTCCAGGGGCCTGCATGAAGACTGGCCTGGTCGGTAATTGTTGAGTGAATGAGTTTCACTCATAGGGTGGAGAGGCTTGGAAAGAGAGACAATAGGGTGTGGGAAAATTTGGGGCCTTGGTAATATACCTTGGCCACTTAAAAGCTGTGTGGTCTTGAGCAGAATGCTTAATCCCTATGAACCTCAGGCTTCTTATCTGTTAAATTACACCACATGTGTGACAGAAAATAAGGGGACACATACTAAACCTGATAAGCTCAGGGAAGGTCAGCATGGCTGGCCTTACAAAAGCAGGGACTACAAAGGATGGTCTGAACATAAAAATTCTTCTAGCTGAAAGTGGGTCATAGTGGGTAGTCCTTTCCTAGGCCGCAGTTTCCTTGACAAAGGTCAATCTTTACTTCAAGAGAGTCTGTCTATTGTTGTTTTGTATTTAAGATAACATACTTTTGAAATGTCAGAGTATTCCTTTTTTCTAGACTCCTTAAGACACAACCCCCAGGGCCAGAGCAGCAGATCACAGAATCCTCATTGGTTTCTTTTCTTTTTTTAAAATTGATTTCAGAGAGAGAGAAGGGGAAATGGAGAAACATCGATCTGTTTTTACACTTATGCATTTATTGGTTGAGTCTTATATATGCCCTGACTTGGGATCAACCCTGCAACCTTGGGGTAATCTGGAAGATAGTCTAACCAACTGAGCTGTCCAGCCAGGGCCCTCCTCATTGTTACCTTGTTGCCTGTATACTATCTCTGTGTGCTGTAAATATTAATTATTAATATTCTGTGCCTACTAATGTAAAAAAAGTATGCATTTCTCTAATTTGCCTTTTTATTAATTTCCAGAGATTTTCTGGGTTTGCCTTCTTCTGCCTCCTTAATTCTCCACAAAAGGATTTCATGTAACCCTGCTTATGTCTCCTCCATTTATTCTAATGTATACACAAGCTACAAAATTGCCATTCGCTGGAGTATTTTCTCAATCCACTGAGATTTTGCTTTCTGGCAATTGTCGTCAGTTTGGCTCCAATAAACTTATAAAAATTTTCTGCAAGTTTGGACATTTCTTACATAAACATATCCAAAAGGGCCTTATGGTGTAGGGCTCCCATAAATGGCATCTGTGATGTTACAGAACAGAAGGAGTTTGTCTACCTGGTGCTAGCAAGGCCAAACACTAAACACAGAGAATTGCAGTGGAGAAATATTGGCTTTTTTTTATTATGAATGGTGCCACCCAGAAGAACTGGAAGCAAATGTTCAAAAGCCCAAACTCCCTGATTGTATGTAGGTTTCAGATTATATATGGCAAAATCACAAGCCACCACTATTTAGGGGTTCTGGGTTGTGCTGGGAGTTGATTGGTTGGAGGTGAAGTAAAGGTAATAAATCATTTCTTCAGGTTTTAAGAACACTTCTGAGGTCTGTCCCAGTGTCCCTGTGTCTGGTTTCATGGGAAAGTACCCAGGGGTCCACCTCAGGATCAGAAACATAACATAGGTCAAGATGTTATCTTTAGCCTGCCAGAGATCCGGAGCTTGTGACCATTAGTCAGTTCCTTATAATTATTGGTCAGGTCTGGAGGTCCTGCTGTCTTGGGTTTGCTGATTTTCCTGGAAAAAGCTAGCTCTCTTGTTACAGAACAACAAGGGGGGGCCAAGGCAATGTACTATTACCCAAAAGGACCCCCCCAGGTTTATGTCCACTGCCAGAGGAACGAGGTCTCTCAATGCCAGAGATTCGTGAAAGGGAAAGGAAATGTTTGTTTAATGCTATACGGACTTAAAGTAGTGACCTAATTTCTTCATTAAAATCCCAAAGTCCCTGAAAACACCCATAAACACACATAGTCCTTCCCTCACCCCTTTGCCCAGTCTGGGTTACTGTATCTCAGGAAAAGAAAAAGAAGTCCGTGGCTCAGGCAGCCCCCAGTTCTTCCCAGTAATCCGTCTTGGTTGGTAGGCCTCCCTTGGTTCCCCAGCACTATGAGGTGTGTCGCCAGGATCTCTGCTTAAGCTGGGTGGTGGTTCCCCCTTCTAAATCTGCGGGGGTCCCCACCCTGGCAAAGCTGCGAGGTTCACTCTCCACTGCCCCAGCTGTGTGGTCCTTTCCGCACAATGGCCTTGGGAGTCCCCACTCTGCCACTACCGTATGGTTCTCCCCTCAATGGCTGCCATGTCTGGGTTTAAATCCCCGCACCAATCTTCCTTCTGCAGCCATTTCCGAATCCTCCTACAATCGGCTACACATGCCAGCACTCTCTTATCCTTCCAGCTTCACTGGGCTGCCATTGTTTGTCTGGGCAGGTGTGGCCCCATATCCTGGAGCCAATCTTCTCCAAGCTCCCACGCAGGCACTTGGGGGACCTGCCTCCCAGTTACATCTTGGTGGGGAAGTTACTTCCATTCCCCTGGCTCAGAGCATGGCCACAGCTATTTAACATATCTATGTAACAAGTTAAAGGTCATAGATATGTTAAATAACCACACCAGAGGTTAGCTGCAAAGCTGCTGCTA